CCTGCAGATCTGCCATTTTGTTCAGGTCCTGAAAATTAATGATAGGTTAAATGATTATTGTGTTTGTCATATAACATCTTCTCAGGAAGGAATGGGAGGAAAGAAGGGAGGGATGGGAGGGAGGAGAGGGGAGAGACCGAGGGAGGGAGGTGAGAGATGGAGGGAGGGAGAGATGGAGGGAGGGAGAGGTGGAGGGAGGGAGAGGTGGAGGGAGGGAGAGGTGGAGGGAGGGAGAGGTGGAGGGAGAGATGGAGGGAGGGAGAGATGGAGGGAGGGAGAGATGGAGGAGGGAGAGGTGGAGGGAGGGAGAGGTGGAGGGAGGGAGAGATGGAGGGAGGGAGAGATGGAGGGAGGGAGAGATGGAGGGAGGGAGAGGTGGAGGGAGGGAGAGGTGGAGGGAGGGAGAGATGGAGGAGGGAGAGGTGGAGGAGGGAGAGATGGAGGGAGGGAGAGGTGGAGGAGGGAGAGGTGGAGGAGGGAGAGATGGAGGAGGGAGAGGTGGAGGGAGGGAGAGGTGGAGGGAGGGAGAGATGGATGGAGGGAGGTGAGAGATGGAGGGAGGGAGAGGTGGAGGGAGGGAGAGGTGGAGGGAGGGAGAGATGGAGGAGGGAGAGGTGGAGGGAGGGAGAGATGGAGGAGGGAGAGGTGGAGGAGGGAGAGATGGAGGGAGGGAGAGGTGGAGGGAGGGACAGGTGGAGGGAGGTGAGAGATGGAGGGAGGGAGAGGTGGAGGGAGGGAGAGGTGGAGGGAGGGAGAGATGGAGGAGGGAGAGGTGGAGGGAGGGAGAGGTGGAGGGAGGGAGAGGTGGAGGGAGGGAGAGATGGAGGAGGGAGAGGTGGAGGAGGGAGAGGTGGAGGGAGGGAGAGGTGGAGGGAGGGAGAGGTGGAGGAGGGAGAGGTGGAGGGAGGGAGAGGTGGAGGAGGGAGAGGTGGAGGGAGGGAGAGGTGGAGGGAGGGAGAGGTGGAGGGAGGGAGAGATGGAGGAGGGAGAGGTGGAGGGAGGGAGAGGTGGAGGGAGGGAGAGGTGGAGGAGGGAGAGGTGGAGGAGGGAGAGGTGGAGGGAGGGAGAGGTGGAGGAGGGAGAGGTGGAGGAGGGAGAGGTGGAGGGAGGGAGAGGTGGAGGGAGGGAGAGGTGGAGGAGGGAGAGGTGGAGGAGGGAGAGGTGGAGGGAGGGAGAGGTGGAGGAGGGAGGGAGAGGTGGAGGAGGGAGAGGTGGAGGAGGGAGAGGTGGAGGAGGGAGAGATGGAGGGAGGGAGAGATGGAGGGAGGGAGAGGTGGAGGAGGGAGAGGTGGAGGAGGGAGAGGTGGAGGAGGGAGAGGTGGAGGAGGGAGAGGTGGAGGAGGGAGAGGTGGAGGAGGGTCCTTTCACTTTCACAATAATTCATCGATGTATGTATTGAAGAAATTGAAGCAAACAGCGTCAAATGATTACCCAGAGTCCTGAGGGAAAACGGCAGAGCTGTGCTGGGAAGACGCCAGGTGCACAGGCAGGGGACAGGCTGGTGAGCAACAGTTAGATCCCACCTCTCCCTTGCCCTGCCCCTCCCAATCTTGATCTTCATGCCCATTCTCCCCTGCCCCCATCCTCTCTGCTCTCTTCCCTCTTTCCCTCGAGCTCTTGTCTTTTTCTTCTCTCTCTCCCCCCGTCTCTCTCCCCCTCCCTTACCCCCTCATTCCCTGTCTTCTTTCCCCTTCCTTCTCCTCTTTCTCTTTCTCTCTCCTCACCTTTACTTCTCCCCATCTCCCTTTGCTCCTCTTCCCCTGCCTTCCATTTCTCTTTACCCTTCCTCCTCTTCTTTCCTCTGCAGTCTCCCTTTCCTCCTGTCGCTTGCTATGCTTTCCCTTCTTACCCCCTCCCATCATTCATCTAACATCCCAGACCACATAGGAGAGTGAAGCCCAAGACACTGCATTATTCCCTTTTGCAGTAGGATGCTCACCCTCAATCACATTCTGATAAGATGCAAAGGCCACAAAAATCTCTCCGGGCACAGGGCACAGAATGGATAACTTTTGTTCTTCTTTTTCTTCCTTTGCAGAGAGGTAAGTTTCTAGACAGCTGCTTGATAGCTTCATTATTCCATTGTAGGCTGGTTATCTGACAGTGTTAATTAAGACTTTCTAATAATTGACTCAAGCTGGCAGCTTATACAAAGACAATGAAAAAATGGGCTGGAGACTTAATAAACTACAACTACACAGGCAGGTAATTTCCTTTTGAAAATGTCTACTTTCCAAAGACATAATACTCTTTACATTTTACAAAAAGCTGGAGAGATAATTCAATTTTGTCTTTAAGCAACTTCTGACCTCTAATTCTCCTTTGTCTTCCCTCCTTGGCAAAATGACAAACACATTCTCTTTCTCTAAAATATTCTTTGTCAACAGGTCTGACACTTTGTGTAAGACAAAATACATTGTGTATGTGTGTGCACACTCATACACTATGATAAATTGTGCTCTGGGAGATACACAATCCAGAGTATTTGCCACTACTAGACATAATGAGGAATAACAGTTTGGGTGAAAATGAAAGAAATGTCATAAGTAGCATGACTCAAGAGCTATGTTACTTATTTTCCTTCTATATTTTCATAGAAAAAAATTCATTTAAATACTGACTCATAATTATTTTGTTGAGCGACTGTCATAAAACTCCAGTGGTAGGAATTCATCCTCAAATAGAGCTGCTCACCACCTGCTAGCCAGACATTAGCATGCCTGAATGTGCATTCATGTGGCAATTATTTCAAACTGCCCATTTCCAATAAAAATCTATTCTCCCAACACCATGAATTAGGGACATTTGTGAAATCAGAGTCAACTAAGCAATTGAGCTACCCATCCACCTACTTACCGAAGAAGAACACCAAGAGCAAGGGAGAGGGCATGATGACAATCACAGCTAATATTTGTCAAAGCTTTCTTCCAAGCATTATTCAGTTACTTCACCTATACAATGTCATCACTGCTTTCAGCCACTGAGTTAGTTTATTCCTATTTGTTGTGGCAAAAAAAAAAATATCCTGATGAAAGCAATTTAGGAAAAAAGGGCCTTGTTTTAGCTAATAATTTCCGGTTACAGTCCATTGATGAGAGGAAGGCATAGCACCAGGAGCTCAAGATGGCCTGTCACATCACATCCACAATCCAGAGCAGAGAAGAAACAGCAGTCTGCTCATTGCCTCCTGCTTACACAGTCTAGGGCCATACTTATTACCATGAAGACAATCCCCACAGCCGTGCCCATAGGCTAAGCTAACCTAGAAAATTCCTCACAAGGACTCATCTTCCAGGTGGCCTTGGGTGTGTCAAGTTGATGATTAAAACTGACCATCACACTCACTCTGTAACATGTGTGGTATTATTGATGCCATTCCACAGAGGATAAAGTGGAAACTTATGGACATGATCTTCATTGGTCAAGATCACATGGCTAGTATGCAGAGTTAAAATTCAAACCCAGAAAGTTCATTCTCCAGTCTTGCAACTTCAGTAACGCTGACAGCTAAGGCTAGGCAGCTCTACTGTGGAAGCCTTCACGGGGGATGAAGGATGTTTACTTGCTGCTGGCAGCATCCCAGCTCTGTCCACTCTGTTCCAGCAGCAGCTTCTGTGCCTACCACCTTTCCCCAATGGTCTCCGGACTATGTCAAGTCCTCTAGGAGGCTGAATTGTAAGACCAGCCCATTTGCAGACAACTATATTCTCTCTGCTTGTCATGCTGACTATTCAGTCTTACCTCATTAGACAACTTTCATAAATAGTCTAGTGGCTATAATATATTTTCTTGAATATTAATTTTTAAATTTATTTATATATATTTATTATTTTACATATCCCCAGTTCCCTCTCCCTCCCTCCCATGCTCTCTTACCACCCTCCCATTCCCCCCCCACTCCACTGGGAGGGTGCTGCCTTCCAGGAGGGGGTCAACAAAATCTGTCAAGTCATTTGGAGTAGGGTCTAGGCCCTCCCCCCTGCCTCTAGGCTAAGGAGTATCCCTCCATAGGGAATGTGCTCCCAAAGTCCCTTAGACTGCCCAGGCCTTCTAACTGAGACCTATGTCTGAGTCGGTATAATGCTGGTTTCCGAGCTATCAGTCTGGGGTCCATGAGCTCCCCCTTGTTCAGGTCAGCTGTCTCTGTGGGTTTGAATATTAATTTAAAGCACACCTGCATACTAATCTGCCTTTGGTGAATATAACCATAAAGTTAAACTTGGTCAGCACAGCCACAAGCAGGAGCTGGTGTAGAGTTGAAGACTGTCACTGTCACCCTTTCAGTGGTATGGCCACTTCTTACCCGGCATACTTCGGAAGATGAAGGGAAATTGTGTCAGTAATGAATTTTGACTTTGAAATTTTATTTACTTAATGTAAACAGATGCAGCCTAGGTCAACAAACAAAATATAATTTCATGCACACACACACACACACACACATATAAAATCCAAAAAATTAAGATTCAGAATTATATTATTTTTTAAAACTAATAAATTAAATTTGCTAGCACCTTAGTTTTGTTTCTTTTTTAAATCTATATTTAAACATATATTAAAAGCCTGTGTTTTGCTATTTTTACTTATCGTATTACACAAATATTCATGGATTACTGCTATGTTAACTACTTTAGGACAAATATAAATTCGAGGTCAGCATTCCTGATGAAATTACTCCAGCAACAATTTGCACACACACACAAAAGCCCAGAGAATAATAAACAGTCTAGAGAAACTAGCACGATAACTTATACAACCCACATTAAAACAAGATACACATACACACCACATTAAGGAATATAGTGAAATTTATTACACGTTTAATATAAGCAATTTGCCACAAATTGGGTCTGTATGAAAAAAACCACAGTATACAGACTAGATGTAAAATACATTGGATGAAAGCATCACAACTTTTATAATATTGCCAGCTCTCTCAACTTTTGGGGGGAAAATATGGTGTAATTTTGATTAAATATAAACACATTTTATATGTGTGATTACTATTAATTCCATCTCACCAAAAATATAATTTCCTACAAATTCTATAGTCTTAATAGGTTTCTGTTTATGCATATCAAGAAATTTTTCTAACTCAATAAGAACATAATTAAACATGTATCTTACTAAGTAAATCCCAAGATTGACAGTGGATTTTCTTGGATGTATAAACACTGTGCTCTTCCTTGTGTGCAATTTGAAAGTAATACTTTTTAATAACTATGGTCTAAAGACAGAGCATCACAACAAAATTGCCTAAACACACACATATTACCATGGTTACTACCAGAACAAACACTTCAGGAATGCATAGCCACTAGGTCTCCCAAATGTGCATAAAATCAACACCCTGGATAAATTGCAAGTCTTCATTTTTCTTCATTTAAGGGCTTTTTCAGTTGGTCTTGCGCTTTCTCTTCATTTTTCTTTTTAACATCTGCAAAAAAATAATTTCCCATTCATATGCAAAATGTGTTGAAATGCTTCTTATATTTAGAACGAAAGCGTTGTTTCCATCCTGACTAGGTCACATTTTGCTCTCAACATAGATATGAATCTGCACAGAGAGGTCATATTTGAGTAGTTTTTAGATTTTTTTTTTCCTAGTCGACTTTCTTCATGGTCTATAGTTAACTATATGCCAGGCATGATGCCATTATACTCTCTATCTCCAGGGTGGAAAGTCACAGAGCTGGTGAAAGTCACAAGTTGAACCCAGATCATTTACCTACCCTGGGACACACTCTGTGTGTTCTTTATATTTTCTATTTCCTTTGCTTCTTAGAGATAACCTTACATTCTGCCCTTCAGAAAAAAAAGATGAAATCGGTGTCATCGTGTGGGAACTCCTTCACCTTCCTGCAACTAAATGTCAAAACTTTCCTGTCATTTGGGATTATTGTTTCTGCCCTCACTTCCATAATAATGGAAGATGTGCTTCTCGGGAGTAATTGCACAATTTCTTATCACTCATTGGAAAATGAAAATGAAATGACTATACTGACAAAATCTATGAAGAACTTTGAGACAGAAAGAGGAAAGCATCTCACAGGTATAACCCTCAGTGAGCGTGGGACCCTGTTCATTGCTCTAGATATATACCTTTGTTGTGGTCCCTGGTAATGCTTTGGTTGCCAAAGTCTAATGCCCCCTTGGTTCCAACTCCTGCCAGTTTCCCACTCATCAAGAAACTGACTCTGGTGATGATTCCCTACTCTTTATTTTACCAAGCTTCCCCTTCTTCCTGCTTCTTCATTTCAAATCACTATCATTCTTAAACTAGCCCCCCCACCAACCCCTCCAATCCTCTTTGTCCTCCTGCTTGAAACAGGATCCCACTATGTAGATCAGGCTAGCCTCAAACTCACAGGAGATTTATCTGCTTTGCCTTCCCAGTGACGTGATTAAAACCATGTAGCTCAGTTGCAATAAATACTGTTTTTTCTCTCATTCTTTGAAATGTTTTGCTATCATCATTTAAATGAAATTACTTAAGTTTCAATCATTCCCCCCAAAATTCTCCTAACAAACCATCTATAAAATATTGAAGATAAGTCTGATAGGGTATATTTAGGATTTTTCGATTGCCAAATACCTGTTAACCAACCTTGGCTATATAATGAGTTTCAGGCCAGCTTGAGCTACAATGTGAGGCCTCCATTAAAAGAAACAAAAATATTTACTAAGCTAAGCACATGAAGTATTAGTTCTCAAGTACCAGCCAATAAACAAATTATGTAAAGTGTGTGGTGTGTGAGAAATAAAAAGTGTCTATGAGGTTATTACATCAGGAGTAGAAAACAGGAATTGTTAAGATGTCTCCAGGCCTAGAGTTTATCAACTGATACAGAGTTGGCTGGAAATACACACCTGAAAAGGAGGATTTGAGTAAAGTCCTGCAAAGGTGAGGTAGTGTGCTGTTCATATCACACAGAGAGAATATTAAATGAGACAATAGCAGAGTCAAAAACAGCCACATGAAAGAGGGACAATGGGAAGAATAGAAAAAGCATGAGACGGAATCCAAGAAGCACCAAGATGATATGTAACAGGTGGAAATAATGTCAGCCTTCTGGGCCAAGTTTGAAAGTGTAGCTAACAGTACACTCTAAAGGATGAGATGCAGAATGTGCAAAATAGAAGGGGAAAATGCTAACATTTTTGGTTTCAGCAACTGGAGCTGTGAAATAGCTAAGCACTGAGATGGGAAAGACGCAGGAAGGGCAGGTCTCAGAAGGAAAATCCAATGTTTGCTCTTAGCCTCATAAGTGATATTACCAATGGGGACCCTAGCAATGATGTCAGCCAGATAGTTCCTTCCATGAGAGCAAACTTCAGGGATCTCCAGACTGAGATCCCTAACAGCCAATCTTCATGTCAACTTCACTGGATTTAGAGTTACCTGGGATACACAACTCTAAACATGTGTGAGGGTAATCCCAGAGAGGCTAGACCCTGTGAGTGAGATCCAGATTGTGGGCAGGACCATATCATAGGATCCCAGACTGAATAAAAAAGTAAACCAGGAAAGCTAGCTGAGCATCAGCATTCTTTCTGATTCCCTGTAACGAAGACAACATGACCAGCCTCCTTAGAGGCTTCCTGTCTTCCTGCTATGATGAAGACCTAAACATAAATCTAAGTAACTGTGGACACCCGATTTTTGATGAGGCCAAAATATACACTGAAGAAAATACAGCATCTTCAATAATAGTGCTAACTTGGTGGTTGCATGTAGAAGAATCCAATAGATTCATACTTATCACACAAAAAATTCCAAATGGATCAAAATCCTCAACATAGAACCAGTTACACTGACAGATGAGAAAGTGGGAAATAGCCTGGAGCTTATTGGCACAAGAAAAGACTTTCTGAACAGGACATCATTAGCACAGGCACCAAGATCATCAATTAATAAATGGGATGGCCTCATAAAACTGAGAATCTTTTGTACAGCATAGGACATCATCATTTAGACAAAGCAGCACCATACAGAATGGAAAAGTTTTACCAACTACACATCTGATAGAGCACTAACATCCAAAAGAACTAAAAAAAAAAAAAAAAAAAAAAAAAAAAAACTGTCAAGAAAACAAGTAGCCCAGTTAAAAATGGAGCACAGATCTAAGCAGAGAATACTCAAGAGGGAACTCCAATGTCGGAGAAACACTTTAAAAAGAGCTCAACATCCTTATTCACCAAAGAATTGCAAATCAAACCCACTTTGAGGTTTCATCTTACGCCTGTCAGAATGACTAAAATCAATAAAACAGGTGACAGCTCATGCTGATGAGGATGTCCTTGTGTCCTTTTATGCAAAGGTCTTTTGCACATATATCATGTTTTCCAGGTTAGTGCTCTTATTTCCTGAGTGTGTGAACAAGCGGGTCTACGGTTATTGGTTTCCTGTGTTTCTGTTGGGCTCTTTTCCTTCTTTTTGTTTTGTCCTATTCCAACATGTTAGATTTTATTTTATTTTACTATTATCCATTAGAAGCCTGCTTATTTTCTAATGAAAGACCGAAAGAAAGTGGATATGGATGGGAGGGGAAGTGGGGAGGAGCCAGGAGGGGAAACTGTAATCAGGACATATTATGTGAGGGGGGAAAATCTATTTTCAATGAAAGAAAAAAAATCCATCCTTAATATGGTTTTGTCAGTTAGTTGGTCATTTCAACAAGAAAAGTAACTAATAGAAGATCTGAATCTATGTTTCAGGAGGATAGGAAGTATGCAATAAGGTTAGACAGCATTAGAATCGAAGAAACACAGACCAAGTTGTCAAAAGACTGTACTGTGTACCTTCTGTTCCATCAAGTGTTTGAGGATATGAGCAAAGAGAAACCTAAAGTGAAACAGCCATTGAGGCAAACAGAAACCCATGAGAGTGAAATGTCCTGGGGATCAAAGGAAGAGCACTATTTAAAGGAAGGTGCAATGATCAATCATGCTAACATTTTGTTAGGTCATGCTAGACAAGGGCTAAGAACAGACCAACAACTATAGCAAAGTCAACGTCATAGGTAGGTAGCAAGGAATGCAGTCCTACTCCGGCTACAGGGGAAGGGGGTAAATGAGAATTAGTAATCAAAAGAGCAACACATTGTCATTATAAGACATTATATGAAACAGACAGAGGGAAGTAGGTAACACTGCAAGGAAACTTGGGGTCATGAAGACATCTGGGTCTTCGAAGTCATAATCTCCAATTTCACAAGACCTCACCCTTGCCGATGTGTCCAAAGTTGTCTTCTTATGGTACTTTTTTCTCCTCTTACCTCACCTTCAGCCAGCAGTGGCCAGCCTTTATTGCTAGGCAACATCAGTCTGCTTTACCCCAAGGATGTTTATTCTGAATTCTTTACTATACATTCTCCTCCACCCCAAATTATATGTTTCTTATTTTGTATGCAGAGAAGAGCTGCTGAGGTTTTATTGATTTTTAAAACTGCGAGTTTCTTTGAGAACTTCATTCATGAACACTGTGTCTACATCATCCCTTTCTCCAACTCCTTCCTTCCCCATGAACGTTCATAACCTTTATTTATTATTGCATGGACATGCATATGTATGCACACTTGTATATGTAACCTACTGAGTCTGTTTAGATTTTTTTTCATATGTGCACATGTTCAAGGATGACCACTAGGGATTGGACAGCCTATGTGGGAATTCATCTCTGCAGGATTCTGATTCTCTCTTCTAGTAGGCCCTGACCTGGCGAAGCTCTTCTAAGTGTGGACTATGTGGAATTCCCCATCTGCACTGGTGTGTCAACGGGTATTGTTGTTATGCTGGTTTTGTTTGAAACAGAGACTCACACTGCAGCCCAGGCTGTACTGGAACTCACTCTGTATCCCAGGCTAGCCATCAATCTCATAGCAATCTTCTTACTTCAGCCTCACGCGTTATTCTGATTTCAGCAATGGCTTGTCTGATTTCTACTCTAATGAACTCTCCACAATACACTCTATTTCAGTTTTCTGATAAAGAATATCATTGTTAGCCTATGTTTATCTCTCTGAAATACAACATTCCTGTTGGACTGTAAGATTTGGGACAGCAGAAGTTCACATCTGCCCTACTCACCACTGGGATCCCTAGTATTTGGCAGGCATAAAATTAAATGGTAAATGAAATAACGAAGACAGAAGCAAGAAAAGACATTTTGTGACTGAAACATCATCTTCCCTTACCTCTTATTGATATGGTAGAAGGCTCATTGCCTTCTTTATTACTGCAAGTGGTAGATTAAGACAGATATGGAAGTCATGAGCCACAATACTCAGCTCCAGTGCAATGGGTAATATTTATGATTACTTTTCATTAATTTTGTCCCGCAGACTGAAACTAGAATCCCAGCACATGTCCATATACATCAATAGCCAGAAACAGCAGTTTCCATGTTCACCCTTAGGATGGCAAGCTGAAATTACCTAGTTTCAGGAAGGCATGGAAATCCACTTTGCCTTAAAACCTGAGAACATTTAGTTAAGAAGAAAAGAGAGCCCTGAAAACAAGTTTAAAGGCTGCTCAAAAAAAAAAAAAAAAAAAAAAAAAAAGATTAAAGGGAGAGACATGCTTCGTTCCAGAGGATTCGTGTTACCTTCCTTCATGGTCAATGCCTCCAGTTTGAGTGGGAGATCAGAAGCCCCACCCACAGCAGCTGAAGTCTGGATGTCAGGTAAGGCGTTGCGGCGGCCTGCCCTGGCTGAAGATGCAAAGGTGCTGATCACAGACTCCACATCAGTCATCTCCGATGAATCTGTCCTCATCACAGCATCTATAGATAGAATGTGCGCATAAAAGAACGAGCCTGTCAGAGGTAAAGCGTCACCTGAGAGACCATTGGCTACATCAGAACCGCTACAGGCTTCAGGATTTGATCTCGGGTGGTACCCTTGCAGTATGCGCGCCTTGGCTCGACCGTGCCCACGGGAACACTTGCTGAATGGAGCAGGAAGTACTTCTGTGAGCCATACTGCTATAAATAACCCGGGAGCCCAAAGCACCACGCCGATGCTTGAGGATGTAGTAGGCCTAGACTTTTGTCCTGCTTTTCTATGGATGAATCAGCCGAACCAGGGCTTGGAAGCCAATGGAAACAGATTGGTGTGGTCACACCCGGAGTTTTTGTTTTTGGTTCTTGTTTAGATTGAAACCAAATCACTGTAATTGTGGGGAATAAACAAAGCACTTTTTACTCCCTTACTCTTTAGAAATGAATTCCACTTTCCAGCTGCGTCTTTTCCCTCCACAGGTGAAACTTTATTCGTTCTGATTCAGATAAAGTTTGCAGTACACTCACGTTTATGCTAGGCACTTTTCCTTGCCTTTAGGTGGGCTTATAGTCACTCATAGCACCTCCCTCTCCGTCCTTTATCATCCCAGTAATGGTCTCACTCATAATTCTTAAGAAAGTATTCATTGTACATACAGGAGGTAGCAGTTATCATACATTAAAAAAAAAAAAAAATCTAAACTGACCCTGTCTCATATGATTCTTTTTCGTTATAAGGTTTTCACAGGTTTCGGTGTTGTACTCTAACCCAGAAGCTGTGATGGCAACAGAAAACATTTGCTGAGTAGGCATTATGCATCGGGTTCCAGCAGAGCTTTGAAAATGCTGAGGGTGTGTGTGTGTGTGTGCGCGCGCGCGCGCGCGTGCGCGTGTGTCCATCTGCAGGGTATTTGTACTTAGAGGGAGAACAGAAGGCATATGCTTTCTGAAAGATGACCTCAGAACACAAAATGTGTCCAGTGTCCCCGAAGGATTGAATTAATCCTTTTTGTTATTTATGCCAGTGAACCTTCTTATAGTCAACTATCGCTCAGAGCATGCTAACAAACAAATGAGAGTGTGCAGGCACACTGCATCTGGTATCCGGGACACAGCTCTTGTCCATCACACAGTAGAATTCATGTGGTGCCCCATGAGGTTTGCAGACACAGTCTGGGAATTAGACTCTCAATGTCTGATATTCACCAAGTGCCTGGCATTGCAGCTCGGAGAATAATAATGAACATTGAAATCTTAGTTCGAAAGAACCCACTTCATTCCAGAGTTGCGGTGACAGTGGTCAATTCACTTAAATTTATGAGTCACAGTTTCACTTCTACATATCACATATAACATTAGTCGGTCTGATTCACAGGATTCTCTTTGTGGGAAAATGGTGAGATAAAGAGCAACTATCTCTGTTCCTATACAACTATCGGTGAGTGGCTACTTACGTCGTTATTCATCTCTCACCCCATCCCTCATCTTACCACACTCCCGTGTACCCTCTTTAATCCTCACAAGAAGATCCTCTAGCAGGGTCTTCTTGTGAGGATTAAGATTCCTGCTAGAGAGCTCTTGAATTTTCTAACAGAGAGGCCAGAATTTCTTCAATAATATCAGTAGATATTTTGTGTCTATCACCAAACTTAAACCTCCCTATAATTCTACAAGGTAATGGGGCACGGTCCACATTTTATGGTTGCAGCCCCTGGTGCTGAGAGGTTGAGTGACTGACTGAAAATTGCATAATTACTAATCTAACTTTGGAAAGAAGCTTAATGCAGTTACCCCTGAAATCAAAATGACATGGATTATTAAGAAAAACTCCAATGCCCCAGTGGTATATGCAGCCAGCTGCACAAATGTGTCCTTTAGATGCTGTTCAAAATTTGAGTGACACCAACAGAGTTGGTCCTCGGGCTCTGACTCTATCCCCAGTTGGTTATCATTGCCTCACACATGATGGCCATGATCAAATGCTTATCTACAAAAAATCATCTCTCCTGTAACTGCAAACATGCTATGTATGACTGGCTTTGTGAAGCAGACCCATGACTTCTTGCTTGATGGTCCATTTTTAAACTGTCAAAAGATGCTTTTGTCATCTATCAAAAGAATTCCTAATTCTGTTTACATTATACATTGTATATAAATCTCAACTTTAATATTAAAAGAGAACTTCTAAAAGGTGGTTACAGCCATCAGCATGGAAGCAAAATTTCTGGGCCCTGAGTTAACTTCTTTGCTATTTGAGAAGTTGTTCCTTTTGCATTTACATTATTATAGCATGCAGAAATTTTCTAAACAAAAACATAACAAAACGATTTTAAAAGTGTGTCAGCTACATTTTCTAACAAGAATCTTAAGGCCAGGTCAGAACTGGTCCATCAGGGAGAGCCAGCAGCCAAGCTACCTTCCTTTGGGGCTCTACTCTGCAGTTTCTCAGTTTATATTTGCATCGAGCTCCTCTAGGAGGTTGGTGCTGAGGCTGGCCAAGATATCCACATTGACCGAGGAGACAACTCATCATCTGAGCACACAGAGCTATGAGAAGGTGGCCAATCTACTGTGAAAAGCTCTCCATCTTCTGACCCAGTGTGTTTGGTTTACAGAGAGCTTGCAGGGCCTCTTGACTCTGACTACAGTATTGGGCTCTCTGGACTGTCAATAGGTGCTCTGAAGCACTGGACTAAACTGCAAAGACCATCAGGAAAATACATCAATAAACTATGTACACTGTGCTATGAGTCTGACACTTCTAGGTGAAGAAGAAAGTGTCAGATCTACCGAAAGAAGCATGTCCACAGGACATTCTGAAATGTTAAAGTAGTATTTGTATTGGAGGAACAAAACGAGGAAAGTAATGAATGTAAAGTCATCTCAGTTGTGTGCAAAGAAAAAAGACTACCTGGGAACCGTAGAAAGAACAAGGACCATATTAACCAGTTTTTAGTGCCTCTGACACATTTTAATGCATAATATTGAACATATATTACTTTCACAGTGGAGAAAGATTGAAGCAAGACAAATTACAAGCCATCAGAAAGATGCTGGCAATAGTATTTTGAACATTAAATAAACAGCAAATCATGAAGCGAATGAACACTCCCCTTCCTTAAACACTTATTTTATTTTCTTGTCTTACTAGACGGTAGTAAGTGTTGCATTTTATAAGGGGTGGCATATGTAGAGAGACAATTGCTTTCTTTTCATGCTTTGTGACTTTCAAAAACCATAATTCATAGGAAGTTGAGGTAACATAGCTAAGGGAAATGAACCTGAGGATAAGCTCCTGGGCATTTTAAATTTTGCAATCTTAAAAGGCTAATTATGTGGATGTTCGCTAACCAAGGTGGCTGGCTCACTGGCGAGGCTTCCTCTTTCTCATTTACAGAACAGAGATGACTTCCACCCTGTTAGCCATGCTGCTTGCCGGAGCTGGAACCATTTGAAGAGTGGGAGGTTCCATCAAAGCCCTGTATTCCCAGTGAGGTAATGCCATTTGTATTGCCCTGGACATATGTGCTTTCAGCTCTCAGTTGAAAATACAGCTTTTCAGGATGCCTCTCAACAAAAGTCTGTAACACAATCACGTATCCATGTCCTCCAGCCTCTGCCATCTCCAAACTATGGGAAATAAAATATGAGCACAAACAGAGATGTTCAAGCTAGAGTACTAGATTTATACACATATACATACACATATGCACGTAATAGTGTGTGTATGTACACATGTTTAGTCTGAGGGGACTTAAAAGACTTCTAGAAAATAGTGTTTCTTTGTTGAAAGTGGAGCTACAGACAGATTTCCCAGTGTCTCTCTCTGCAGACCGGTCAGCGCACATTCTGCTCACACTAGCCTTTCCTCGGATGTCCTTACTCGAAGCTGAGATTGTATGCAGGCTAATACTTTCCTTCTTTCCTCATGCCTTGATCCCTATCCATCACCCCAGTTCCCACGGTGAAACCACTACTTATTCTGGGGTGGAACACTTCCAAGGAACTTTTTGCTGCTAACTTAGTCTTAGAGGGGCGGTATGAGTCAGAATGTCTGAAAAACAACAATAACAACAAAAGGCCAAACCAATTTTTTTTTTTTTTAAAGGAGGGAAAAGGATGAGAGGGGAGGGGAGGAGGAGGGGAGAGGAGGGGAGAGGAGGGAATAGGGGAAGGGAAGCCTGCGGGGGGGGGGGGTGAAGAAGAGGAGAGGAAAGGAGCAGAGGAAAGGAGAGAAGAGGGAGCGAGGGGAGGGGAAAAGGGAGGGAAGGCATGGCTTTCTCCAGCTTTCTACACTTTATGCTAATACTCTTCAGTTGTTGTGTTGGTAAAGATCCTTATATTGTGATTTTCTGACTTTTATATGCAGACATCCTCCAAAGAAACAGAATAGTTGCTTCTTTGGGCACCAACAAGTCAGGTATTTATCCATCCAATTGCATGCAGGCCCTGCCTCTATCAGCCCACAAGCCACACAGAGGAACCAGACTGTGCTCAGATGAGACTCAGTCTGGTCCCTCCTGCTACTTTTCATAACCTCAAGTCCTAATCTTAGGAAATTGGGTAAAAGATGCGAATCCTTTAACACATCCATCTAGCCAAGTGATACCACCATTTTAGTCTAAACAGAGCTTTTGCATTTGTATGAAATTATTTTTTTTATTTGGTGACATATATCTCTTTAAAATTCCTCCATTTATGGAATATCTATGTCTCTAGGATAAGACAAAAGCAAATGAAAATTTACATTTGTAGGCATACTTTTTTAATGCTTAGCTTCTTGCTTGCAGTAACACAAATTCAACATATATTCATATGCATATTGAAGCTGATCTAGCACAGAACTTAAGCAATTAAGCATGTAGCATTCAAATCCAAACTTAATTTTATTCTCTCATATTCTTCCAGTCGACATGATACATAAACCTGAATACCTTTCCAGCACTGCAATACTGTTTCAAAACAGGATTACTTATGATAAAATATGAACTGGCATATAATAA